CTCCGACTCCCACAAGGCGCAGCCAAGCGCCAGGAGGACGGACCGGCTTCCCTCAGCTCCGGGCCTGGGGGGGGGGGGGGGGTTCGACGCGAGTGGGGCGGGGGGGCTTCAGCACTCACCCGTCGCCCACCACCACACACTTGATGGCCTGCATCGGGGCGGCCGCTCGGTCGGGGCGAGCGTGGGCGCGAGGAGAGAAAGGGAAAGGCGGCCTCGGCGGCCTCGGCTTGTCTCCCGGCCTTTCGGCTAAGCGCTGCTTCCCTCGGAAAGGAACCACAAAGGAGGACCCCGAGAAGGAGGCTTGAGAGAAGGGCGGCGGCGGCGGCGGCGAAGGAGGCGGCGGCGGCGGGAGCTGAGGAGGCAACTGCCACCACCCAAAGCGCGGGGCGGGCAACTGAGGCGAGCGCGGAGGAAACAGGAAGCGGCCGCTCCGCTCACTTCCGGCCGCGAGCGAGAGAGCGAGCGAGCGCGCGCTCCCACCCCGCCCACCCCTCCTCCTCCTCTTCTTCCTCCTCCTCCTCTCGGTCCCGCCTTCTTCCGGAAAGCCTTCGGGGACGGCCGAAGATGGGAAGATGGGGGCGGGGTCGAATCGCTTCGGGAGCCTCCGCCGCTTTCCTCCTCCTCCTCGGCCACGCCCCACGCCCCACGCCCGGCGAGGGAAGTACGAACGGGGTTTTCGGGAAGGCTCGGGTGCCGCGCTCGCTCCTGGCCTCGGAATTCGGGTCTTCGGTTAAATCCGTTGATCTTCGCGCCGCGCTCCTTTCGCTAATTGGCGGCTTCGGGTTCCTGGTGGGTGTCGCTCGCGGGCTCCAGGTTGGCGGTCCTTTGGGGCCTTTCCCAGCGTTGTGGAAAAAAAAATATAGGGAAAAAGCAAGGTGGGAAAAAAAGGTTAGTTATCCCGCTCAGCCTTCGTTGGATCTTATAGCCTCTGCAAGGGTTACTTTTTCCTATTTCAAAGCAAAAAAAAAAAGTTCCTTTTTATCCGCATCTATTTCATGGATTAATAATGTTTATACTTCTATATATGTTTATACTTCCATATATTATCAAATGCATGCTTGATAAAATAAATAAAATAAAATAAAATAATAAGCTACCGAAAGTGGGTTTCTGGAATTGGGGTTGAACCCATGTTTGACGATGATTGATTAATGCACACTTAAGCGTAAGCATATATTATGAACCTTCATGTTATGTTGATAACATGATGCTGCTTCCTAGTTTGGTAATAAAACGTCTGCAAGAAAAAGACCAATCTCAGCACCAAGGAGCCCATAATTCTCCTCCTCCTCCTCCTCGCTGCAAAACCCCCGCCCTGATGATGTTACCTAGTTTGGTAATAAAACGTCTGCAAGAATGCCCCCAACCTCAGCACCAAGGACAGCATCATTCTCCTCCTCCTCCTCCTCCTCTCCACAAACCCCACTCCCTTCTAACACTGATGATGTTACCAAGCTGGGTCATGAAATGTCTACAAGAAGCAACCAAGCTCAGAGAGCACCAAGGACCCCACCGTTTCCCCGTCCTCCTCCTCCTCCTCCAAAACCCACTCTTTTCTAGCACTGATGACGTTATATAGTTTGGTAACGAAACATCTGTAAGACAACCAACCAACTTCACAGCACACCAAGGACGCCACATTATTTCTCTAGCACCAATGACCATCTTATGTGCCCACTTTTTGTATTAATAATGTCTACATCCGGGGTGTGTTTTAACTGCATTTGCCCATGAAATGGTACAATGCTGTGATTTTTTTTAAAAAAATAGCATCATTCCCTACAACAAATCCCTGCATTTGTTTTGTATTAAAACCTCACAAGGGGAATAAAACTTTTAAAGAGATTTAAACTTCGTGTGTCCGATTGGTGTTTGCACGCCACGTTGAACGAACTCGAGAGCTTGCTGGGAGAACAATTGAAACATGTATATCTGTTTCTGTCATCTTGATTGTGTAATGTGTTTTTTATATTCTTTGTGTCGCTTGCCGCACGCTGCTCAGTCGCTTTTGATCAGATGAGCATCTGTACAAGTTAGATTAATAAACAACCAATCAACCAGCCGAGTTATAACTGAATGTGAAACTGGAACAGTTTATGCGCTTATATTTATCCTTCCGTCTTCCTGGACTCAAGGTGAAACTATTCCCGTAACTTAAATCACATTTTCATTGTTTTATATCAGATGGTCAAAAGATAACAAAAACCACCCAAACTTACGTAAACGAAAACTGAATATCTCAAGCATTCTTTATTAGTGGGGGAGGGAAACACTTCTTTTCCCATAAAGTTGGTCGATATTGTAAGTCTGGCAATGTTATTTCCTCAATCCAAACCTCTCTGAAAGAAGGACAGCTAGTTCCTTCTTAGAAAAAGGAAATCTGTTTAAAATATAGCTGGAGTTGTTGCGTAGGGGATTTTGAGCCTGGCAACAAAAGGCATGATTAATTTATATGGGTGTGGCTGCCCGAGTAGCAATCACACTGATGTAATGCTGGAAAAAATGACACACGTTGCAAAACGCGAAAAAAGGAGAGAATAAGATTGATTTTTATATCATCTTTTGAAAGAGATATGTTTACATTTTAAAGACAAAAAAAAAATGAAGTTTTAGATCCAGTTATAATTGGCGCTGATGTTTACAGGTTTATGTGAAATGTTTTTGTAAATATTTAATGGACCTTTGCTTCTATTTTTTTTTTCTGTGATTATCATTAATCTATTCTTACTAAATTTATTCCAGATTTGAGTGATCCCCTTGGTCCTTTCTATGGGCTTGCGTAGAGACCCCCTTTCTACTTTAAAAAAAAAAAACAAGAAAAACTGGGAAGTATATTAACTCTTCTCAAACGTTCTGGCGTTTCTCATTTCCAACCAGGAATTCCCAAAGATTACAGTCAGGGATTGTGAGATCACATCTGCCAGATCCTTTAGCATCGAGATCTGATCCACCTCCCTTCATTCAAAGATTTCTTTCATCACTTCCCTGCCTACATTGACATACATTTTTTCTTCTGTCTTCTTCTCTCCTTGGTGCAAGTTCTAACAAAGTTGACCAAAAGGCAGAGGCAAAAAGGGAATTCTTTCAGCTTGTTCCCTGTCTCCTCTTATGATGACACAGAGTGTAACACAAACGTAACATAATCCAAAATGTAAATAAATGTCCTTTAATGCCAACTTGGTCCCACTGTTTAATAATACTCCGTTGGAGGTAAAATATACTCAAAAATAGTCTTCAAAAGAAAGCAATGCAGCCCGAATTTAACGAGGAGATAGAGGTGAAATTAAAAACAAACAAACTTCAATGACGAAATTTCCACAACGGAACAGGAGAAGTATTTACCAAATTCAAGGAGATAACAAGGCACGGTCTGTTGGAAGGAGGCCAACCAAGATAACTTCAGACCAAAATAAAACACGCTTTTGTTTCCAGCGTTTGCCAGTACGCAGGTCCAAACTCTTATTCAGTTGTCACAGCCCATGAAGAGGATCAAGGCCCTCTCCTCCACAGTAGACCACGTCTCTCCCTTATCCTCTCCTCCCTGCGTGCCCTAGGATGGAGAGGGGATGGGCCTGGGTCCTCCCTCTGACTGCTCAGCCCTTCCCCAGCCTCCTCCACAACCTCCGGAGCCACACCTCCACTCCCTGTTGGCTGTTCCTCCTCTCCCTCAGAGTCAGTCTCCACCAAGAGCATGACACCTCCTTGCCATCTTCTCAACCAGTTGACCAACCGTTTCCCAGATTTCAATCTGCACATACCTTTTGGGGTGGTTCTTCATATTTCTTGCAAGCTTCAGCTCATTCCGAATCTTGGACTTCCTGATGCTTTTCTTCGAGATCCAGGCCATTTCCTGATAATCTAACTTTTCTTACACGTCCCTCTTTCCATCTTTTAGGGCCATCCTTTTTGCTTTTCAGATTATCAGAAAGGTCTTTAGGCAACCATACTGATTCTATCAACTCTCTTCCCTCTTTTTCTTTGGTGTGGTTCGAGGCCTTGATCCTCTCGTTTTTCAGAACATCCAATCCTCATCAACTGTTTCTCTCTTCAAGTTCTCCACCTATGGAGTCCGTCTCCTTTTTTCTGCCTTGCTTGTTGAGGTCAACTCTCTTGAAATCCAGAACATTCCTCTAGCTAACATCTAGTTCTCCATTTTCCAAAGCACCAGAAGGCAGGACAAGAAACAATGGATGAGAACTGACCCAGGAGAGAAGCAACCTGGAATTAAAGGAGAAACTTCTTAACAGGGAGGACAATTAACCAGTGGAATGGCTTGTCTTTAGAAGTTGTGTTGGGTGCTCCAACACTGGCGTTTTTTAAGAAGAGACTGAACAGCCCCTTGTCTCAAATGCTATGGGGTCTCTCCTGCTTGACCAGGGGGTTGGACTAGAAGACCTCCAAGGTCCCATCCAGCTCTATTCTGATGGATTGATTGAAACCCAGCGCGTTCTAATATTACATGATCATGTCCTCCCACTTATTGATTTCAACTCTGCTGCCAGGAATGTGGTGAATACTAAAATCATACAAGCTTATTCCCCCAATTGTCCATCAACTTCCACTTCCTGGTAGCCGGTGTAACTTTCCCCTTCTTCGCCTTTTGGATCATGACCTGGATGGGAGGGAACTATTGTGATTGACAGACTGGATTGGTCGAGACAGAGCAGCGCATTATGACATAGGAATGTCATCTCATCGTCATCAACAGCAAGACAGCACCCTTGTTAACCCTTTGGCTGCTTTGCTTTGATCTGTGGACTTCCAGATCGTTGCACAGGTAGGGGCCCAAGCCTGTAAGGTGTGGCTGTCAACTCGTAAATCATTCCTTTGCCTGTGTTGTGGTTCTCCGGCAGCAAGTGCAGATGGCTGAGGTCTCTGACAGTGAGGACTCGGATAAGGGGCCTGTGTGTGATGCAGAGATGGGGCCAGAACTATCAGAGAGTGGGGTGCTGCCTTCGGAGGTTGTGGAGTCTGGCAGCAGTGACAAAGAGAATCCCGAGGAGCCTGTGCCCAGGGCGCATGTGTGCAGGGCTGCTTGAAGGAAAGAGCAGCCTCAGCAGCATGGGTGTCTCGGGAGTAAAGCTGCAAGGTGATGGCTCCTCCCATAAGGGATAAAAGCCAGCCCTCAAGTGTTGGGTTCTTTGCAGGAAGCAAAGAAGTTATTTCAACTCAAAGTTCTCGTGGAAGTCCTGTCTATTCTGGTTTGTTTTCGGGGACTTTTGGCTTTGGATATTTCTCTGCAATTACTCTTTTTTTTTATTAAGAATTTTTATTTTCAAACAAACATACACAAGCAAAACATAAAACCATCTTCCAGTTACATACAGTGTGTCGGTTGGTTACAAGTCTTTTGTGCTTCATCTCCATAGTCTTCACTTATAGTTTGTATAAATTCTCATATTATCCATCTAGTATGTATGTGTG